TATAGGGTGTAGGGTTTAGGGCTTTAGGGTTAAGGCTCTAAGGTTCAGGGCAACTGAGTGCAACAAACACGCACCCCAATTAGCTGCATCTAGTGGGAGGATAAGCAGATGGGTAGTTTTCTAAATTGGGTCCCTTTTCAGGTCCCTTATATAGTACGGCACCCTTATAAAAGGGACCCTAAAAGGGTGCCCGAATTTAGAAAACTTCCCACATTCATTGTACCATTATAGGCCCCCAAAAAGACCGCAGAAACCCCCCCTGTCCGGGTAGCCTCCACGCTGCCGTCTCGGCCCCTTAGCCTGCTCCGCGGCTTTCATGAGAGCTCCTCCAGCTTCAAGGATTTTGGTTTTGGGTTTTAGGGCTTCAAAGGTTTAGGCTGGGATTCAGGGCGTGGGGGTCTACACAAGTGATGTAGGATCTTTGTTCAGGCTTTGTGTCTAGAGACTAGACTAGCGAGAAGTGCTTCAAGAGGGCTTGTATAGCGGATTGTCAATCATCTTTATCTCTTGTACAAAACTGGACAATGCTTTGCGGCTTTCTTTGGCGATGTGGATGACTCGAGCTGTCAAGCTTTATGACGGGTTTGGAGTCTTGATCAAGACTTCCCACAGCTCGGCAAAAAATCAGGAACTCAGGGATAGGCTACGTCTACGCATTTTGACCTAAACTCCAAAAGATCCCCCAAAATCTCTAAAGGATCCCGGAGGGTTTCGGGGGTGCCCTGCAGTTTCCGGTTGGGACAGGGGGTTGGAAAGGTGCCCTCCCCTTTTTTTATACTGGTGACTGGGCGCTCTCTCGTAGCAACGGAGATCTGCCGTGAGGCCAGCCTTCTGCACGTTTGGCCGGGGCTTTGCCAGGGCCACTGCCCGCCTGTCTGCAGCTGAAGACAAGAGATGTCATGTCTTCAGGCTCCTTTTGACGATGACATGCTGCTACCGGCTGCTACCGTCACCTATGTTCCCTGCGAATTTTCCTCTCTTAACAATGACGACCTTTTTGGAATTATGCTCAAGAGCATGGCCCATGACATGCTTGTGATTACAACATGATTCTTGATGCTGTGCCCCTTTCTCTTGGGCTCACAGAGCCGATAGGCCTGCACCTCTGCAGCAGCCGGTGCAGGCGATGCCGACTGTGGCTTCTCATCGCCAGTGCTCGGGGAGAGTGATGCTAAAGCATCAGGCGACCTTACAGTAGTATACTCTCGTGCACATTTCTGCACCCTTTGTTCTTGATGACAAACTCATCACGCTTATGGTGCACCTGGTGTCATAAGTCTGCTGCTTCTCGCCGGGTGATGCATCCGGGAGCTGTCCGGTCGCCTGGCGGCGCACAGCACAAAGAAGCAACCAGCAGAAGTCTTTCGGATCGGTTGTCCTCGTCAGATGCCTGCACTGGCAGCTTCGCAGGCCTTACACGCATGCAAGGGTACCGTGTCTGAGGATGCAACAGGACCGCTTGCAACACTGCTGAGGGCTGTACGGATCGTGGACAAACGGCGAACCTCGACACCATGTCTTCACTAGGAGCCGTGACCCCCGGCCTGATCACGGCCTGCGGGGCTAGGAAGGAATCCTTGGAGTGACATTCAGGTGAGACATCCCTCGTGGAAGTCTCAGGTTTTATCCTCAAAGATTCTTAGTAGGCTGAAACTGGGTTCTTGTTAAGGGGCTTTACTTAACTTGCCATAACGGGGATCTATAGTAAATAATAAATAATATGGTTCCGTTCATTATGATAGCTTAAATTAAATCCCTGAACCCCTAACCGCTAAACCCCTAAACCCTAAACCCTTAACCCTAAAATCCCAGGGAACCTCCCTGAAGTTCCCCAGCAAAACAGGCCTGGCTCTGGCGAAGGCGTCGGCGAAAGCATCGGCGGCGACAGGGGCGACATCAGCCGGTCAGAGGAGTGACCACGCCTCGGATCTTGGGTTTAGGGTTTTAGGGTTTTAGGGTTTTAGGGGTTTAAGGGTTTTAGGGTTGAGGGGTTTTAGGGTTTAGGGTTCCGGGGTGTCCGGGTTCTGAGGCTTGGGGTCTTTAAGTTTGGGGGCTTTGGGGAGGAGGCGGGAGAAATAGTTGACACCGCTACCACAAGCAGTATCGTAGCAATATGTCATGCATGCAATATAATGACTGCAGTTATGCAAGGAACAACAACGCGGCAACACACAACGTAGCAAGAAGGGAGAAAAAAGTATCACATGAAAACAACACAGCACCATAATCGTCATGATCAAATCATCACAGAAATCCAAATGCAGAAGTGGGCTTGAATCGTGGTTAACTAGGCTTGACTGTATGACTGTTGAGAGGAACGATGGGAAGAACGGGAAAGATGCTCCGGCTTGCACACCTTGGGGCCTCGAGATCTTCAATAAATCGAAGCCATGGCTCTTGGCGCTGAGAAACAACACGAGCTGGTGTTTCGGATTTAGGGATTATAAGGAGTATGGCTGAAGGGTTTCCGGAGGTCCAGGGAACACATTCTGGGCTGCGCGCCTCTTCGGCGACATCAAGTTCCGATAGCTTCGGGCAATGAAGGCATGGAACCTGAGACAGCAGTCGAGGTGCGCCCCACCGTAAGCCTTAGACTAAGTCGTTTAGCATGGCAGCAAAGAGTATACTTGGCACTCCAAATCTACAGGGTTCAAACTTTAAGGAAGGCTTGCTGAACCTGATCTCGGGTGCTCACTGCCGCTGTTGAGCATCAGCCACAGCAGCGCTGGCCCGGAAGCAACGAAGGGCCTATTTCTGCAGGGGATACTTCTTGCTGCAAACGTTGTGTTGGACCAGGTGAGGGGCACCTCTTCTGCTGCTGCAGCCTCAGCAGCGGCAATCTCGGCGTTGGCGTCTATCTCGGACTGTGGGATGCCATCACCTGCCCGGCCCCGCGGGCACGCACACAAACCATACATCATGTCCAGTGTCATCTGCACAAAGCTACCAATCTCGCCACCTTGTGCAACACACGTGGACGTGAGGTGGAAGTGCGCGGCGAGCTCCTGTCGCGGCGAACACCAACAAAAAAGAAACTCTTTGTTTCATGTTGCCATGCGTCTGATCCATTGCTTAGTCAGCCTCCTCATCCAAGAAATTGTCGCCATCGTCGGCGTCGCCCTTGCAGATGTCTCTGGCTCAAACAGGGATGGAGCACGACTTTGGGCTTCAAGAAGGCAGCCTCAAGATGGCCCTTGACAGCAGCGGGAAAACACAACCCGGTGCGAAGTTGAAACGAGAAGCCAGCTTCGGTGACGAGGTGGGACAATCCTACTGAAGCGTGTATGTACGTCAGCAAAAATCTTCGTCAGTCTGTGTGTGTGTGTGTTATAGCTTCTCATCTGTCGGCTCTTCCGCTTTTGCGTCTCTTCCATGTCAGTCCTGATTCACACCGGGGGCTTTGAAGGGTACATCAACGAATATGTGCCATGTATATATATATATGTGGACACACACACATAAATATAAATAAATAAATATAAATAAAAATAAATAAATAAATAAATACATATAATATAATATCATATGTATATATATATATATACACACATGTTGTATATGTACAACTGGACCTCTATATATATATATATATGTATGTATACGAATTTATTTATGCATGTGGTTTGTTTAGTTATACATACGTATGCAAAGCTGTTATTTACATATGTCTAGCTACCCATGATACAGACAGATAGTACCTGAACCGGTACGTGCGAATCGTGCCTCGAGCTTCGGGTCTGCCGTTGCCGCTTCTTGCTCCGAGTCCTTTTGCATGCCCGGAGGAATACCGGGCTTGAACCCTAAACCCAAAACCCTAAACCCCGAGGTGCTGTGAGCCTTGAGCTTTGGGCATCTTAGGCCTGGCATTGCCATGATGATGGACGATGAGACTTGTCCCTCTAGCAACTGTCTTTTTGCACGACTGTTCTATGGCTGTTGTTGCTGACTGTTAGTCTTGCTCGATGGTTAGTGCTATGTTCGGGCACAGAACCGTATTCAGGGCTTCTGCGGTGTGCAAGGCTTAGGAGAGTTAAAGTTTAGGGGCAGCTGGAAACCTTGAAGTCAAGGAAATCAAGTAAAACTGACAACAGCAATCCTTCTGCTAACCTGTAGTTATAGTGACTACTAAGTAATCCTGCTGGCTATGTGTCTTGACCCGGTACCGAAACAATGTAGCGACGGTATGACGTAACAACTCAACTCAAGTGATGCCAGTACTGATAGAGCCTTTCTAGAACGACCACGCGAGTTTCTAGAATCACCACGCGCTCCTCGCCATCGCTTTCACTCTCGCTGGCAGTTCGGCTCAGCTGGTGCAACAAGAACTCCAACTGCCTGCACGCATCGATCTGATGTTAGGGGGATCAAGGGTTCAGGGATTTCAAAGCTCGCAACTGGCTTAACAGCTTCTGAAAGCGGACTCCGCTGGAAGGCAGCCAGTTTCGGTGCCAATGTCTAAGACAAGGTCTTAGGGAACTTTTCAAGCCGAAAGACCACGTGCAAAGCCTCCTGTACCTGCGAGCTGGTACAAATAGAGAATCGAACCAGTCCGATGACACATATATCATTAGAGCATAATGTAAGCAGATACATGGTAACAGATGGTGCAGCAACAAAATGAAGATGTAGAAAGTTAACTAGCTAGATACATGCATACATGCAAACATATGCACGCACAACACACACACAAACAAACAAACAAAAAAACAAACAAACAAAACACACAGAGGCACACAAACACACATACGTACACACACACACATACATACATGCATGCACACCTAAAATACCTACATACCTGCAGCATGCATAGCTACTCTTACTTACATACCTGCTTGCTTAATTACTTACTGACGTACATATGTATACGGCAAATAGGCATCCCTGGACGGAGCGCGTGCACGAGCACGTCGCAGCGGTGTATGGGGCGTTGTGTTTGGGCAATCCCCTCCAGCCCAAATCACGCCCGAAAGACTCGAAGGGTGCCTCTGGAGGAGGTCGTTGTCAGGTCCAACACGCTTGAGCCTGTCATTTCGCAGGTCAAACGCTGTTTTGTTGCTACTACTACTGATACAATTAGATTGGCCTCTCAAGTGCTTGCTTCGGATTGAAAGGCGCAAGACCATGAGTTATCTGAAACTCCGACACGGGGCATGAAAGAGATGCTACTTGTACCAAGCACCAGAAAAATCTGCGATGGCATTCCAATTACACGGTGCAGGTTCTCTGCTGTTCCCGAAGAGGCAAGACATCAGGCTCGCGGTGAACAAGGTTCGGCCCTGCACACAAGCAGTCTCAATTCCGCGGCAGGATTGCGCTATGAATATTGACCCAAGACCCCAAATTAGGTACTATCTGAAACTTAAAGGCTGAAGGTTACATTATCACCAACTGAGGCAATCATGGCAGCGCCACGCCGACCGAAAGATCGCCTGGCGGCTGCAGCACGAGGGTTTCTGAGGCGTGTTTGAATAGTTCAGGCTGTTGTGTTTGGGTTTAAGGTCTTCTGGTTGGGGTTTTGGGTTTAAAGTCTTCTGGTTGGGGTTTTGGGTTTAAGGTCTTCTGATTGGGGGTTTTGGGTTTAAGGTCTTCTGGTTGGGGTTTAAGGTTTCAAGAGTGCAACAACTCCTCATTCAGGAACGTGGCTGTTAGTGACAACGGCTCCACCGTGCGTTTGATTGACCTGCATGCGAAACCCTCTGTAACCCTTCCGAAGCAACCATTAGATAAGCACTATACTTAACCCCTGAGTTCCACTCTTGAAACACTGAAAAACCCGAAGCCACATGGCTGATGATCAGCCTTGCAGGCCCTAGCTACCGCGCGGCTGGGCATCAGCCCCACGATCAAATTTCCAGACCCAGCGAAACCTGTAGCCCCTAGTCGAAATGCCCCTCATCTCTGAATCACTCCACAGGTGCTTTAGGGCTTATGGTTTGGGATGTGGGGTTTAGGGCGTGGGCAGCTGCAGCTTCCAAGGTGCAACGACGCCTCTAGCTCCAGGCCAGCCGTACACACCCAGTTCATGAGCAAACGACTGATCACCGTTTACCTAAACCGTCACCAAAAACAATAAAAACCATTTACGCCTCGAACCGCCGGAAACATCCGAATGCCCTCGAGCCCAAAGGCGATACACTAGGACCTCAACAACCGAAAGCGTACACACCCTTTGAATACCCTAAACCAACACCTGCAAACCAGAACAAGCTCTAGACACAAACCCTGCACCCTAGCTCAGAATCCACAAATGACCGCATCTTGGAAGCCCTCATTCCTAAACCCTAAACCCTATAAACCCTATAAGCCCTATTTTCCCCACAACAAACCCCATATAAACCCCAAAGAACCTAAAACCCTAGCCTCTGCTCTTGGCTCCCTTTTTTTTGCTTTCAACGGCGGCCTCGGCTCCCTTCTGCTGCGCCTCGGCGCGGATGGAACCGACCTGGGCCGCCCGGGGCGGTGCTTCAAAAAAAAGGGGGCCGTAGGAATCGGAAGAAGGTTCTTTTGGGGCCCATTAATCATATACTCTATAACATAATTATGCTTTTTTTTTTGGGGGGGGGACCATTATTGCTATAATTGGAATTGTCTTTTTTTGTTTTGGGGGATTTTGGAATTTAGAGACTTGTGGGTGAGGTAGCGTCTGTCTTCTTGTATTGTGAGTTTGCAGTGTTGTTCCGTGGGCTTTGGATTTCGGGTTGCCGGGCTTTAAGGTTTTCGACTGGCCACTAAGTTTTGAGGGTTCTGGATTTTCGGGTTTGGAGATGTCGTGCTTCAGGGGGTAAGGAGAGTTTTATACGGCTGGATGACAAGGCGCGTGCATGGTCCAGTACAAAGGAGGCAAAGGTAGACGTCAGTTTGAGCGGGTGAATAAAGGTAAAAAATGCAGGTGGAGCTGCAAAGTAGCTAAAGGTAAACGGAAGGTCAAAAGATTACGAAAAGGCAGAAAAAGGTGAAAGAAAGAGTTACAACAAGGTAAAACACAAGGTAACGCCGAGCCCCCAGAGCTTGGGGATATGACGCCAAAAGACAACAGCAAAAGGAAGAATAAGAAGAAGACACAAGTCCACCATCGACACGGCCCAGCCCGAAGACCCAGAGGAGCTTAAAGGTTTAGTAGGAATCTGGACTGGTGCTTGTAACTAACTTCGCTCAGCCAAGGTGGTGCCATGCCCTTCGGAATGCCACCCGCAATGAGTGACGTGATGTGACCGAGGTTGCTTATCTCTTCATTCACGTACATCTCGTTCGTTCAATTGTCTATTGTCCGTATTACCACAGTGCGTAGCAGTAGGGATCTCGTGGTGGTGCAGAGGCCGTACCATGTCCATACTTCTGAGATCTTTGCGTATTACCGGCATTACGGTTGCTACTGTCTTACTGCTCTTGGTTTGCTTCGGCCTGTGCTACGTCTGATCTCGCATGGGAGTTCCAGCAATCAGAAGGCCGCAAACTGCCGAAGGTCCTCATCATTCTTGCTGTCAACACCCCGACTGTAGGAAGCCCTCACGTCAAGCCAGCGGCCCCGAGCAGGGTGTACAGCGTCCCGTTGACGTGCGTCCGGACCTGGCGAACCACTTCAGGTCGGCTTTGGCCGACAGCTCAGGATGGCTCTCATTACCAGGTGTTCATACGACATCGCCATGACTACTCCAACATGAGTCGTTTCCGGTGTGGTCCCTTGCTGCGTGAACTAGCCTCACTAGCCCTTCTACAGCCACTAAGGTACTAAAATATTTTTCTTCTAAACTGTCCTACAAAGCCGTAAACAAAGGGTGACGACAGCTGCTCTTAGTACCCGCATGAGATCCTGAAGACAAAGAGCCTGTGGGTTCGGATGCTCAATCAAGGTCACCAGGATGCCATAGGCCCCGAGATCGGCACACCTGGGGCCCTTTTGGGTTTTGGGTTTAGGGCTTATAGGGTTTAGGAAATTTGGAGAATTTAGCTTTGAGCTTGGGAAGTTTTTGTTGTGTTTAATGCATTGCGACCCAGGCTCGGCAGGTTTAGGGCTTAGGGTTTGGATTACTTCGAAGCTTATTGGCCAGGGTTTAGAGATTCTGGCTTGGCGTTCGGAAGTAACGCGGTTCTGTATGCTATTGCATCCCTGAAATTTT